TGGTTGGTCAATGTTGGGGAATAAAAGAGGGGTTGTTTTTGGTCATTAAAAGGGGACAGGGCTGGGTATTATTTATGGGTATTTTGGAGTTATGGCTTTGGGTTACTGTGAGGGAAAACATGGGCAGGAAGTAGTGGCTGGAGGTGGGTCATTGTTTTGGCTCTTTGTGGGTGTTGTGTTGGGATTGTGAGGTTTATTTGGGCAGGGAATGAAAGGAAGGAAGAGAGGGTTTTACTAGTTTATTAAAAGGCTTAAAAGAAGGAAAATAACAACAAACAAAAAGGTTTTGGTTTATACACTCTTATTTTCGGCCATGGCTAAAATAAGAGTAGGAAAAACTTTATTTTGAAAAGGAAATATTTTGGATGTTTAGGGAAGGTATGGGGAGTGTGGGCTCAGCCTAGGGTGGGTGTAGGACAACCATGGTGTTGGGTTGGGTTCTAAGACAGGAAAATGGAGAAGTTTCAACCCAATTAATGTCATCACACTTGGGCTTTATTCCCCTGATCCGTCTTTCCCCTGGCGGGCTACGGACGGTCTTCGGGCCTGCTCCCGGATATATATCATATGAAGTCGGTGTTTGTGCATGCTTTCACGAGAAGTATTGGAACTCTTCTAAAAATCATTAATGAGCAGAGAGTCAGACTCTGAAAATTATGGACTTATAACATATGAAGCCGTCCATTTCAATTCATCTCAGGCAGGCACATTGGGTCTGTAGCTTTCGTATGTTGTTCGGCATAGGAAATGAAAGAATTCTGTTCTGCCTTGACTTTCTCTAGCAGTTGGGAACTTGGGTAAGCTTTCGTAAAAAGAATTAGTTAAGACTCCTTGCAGCATGACAGGGAATTTCCTGCTTAGTTGGCCTTCGAGGAGTTCGAGCGATTCTAGTGTACTTAAAATCATATCCCAATAGTTTACTCATTGCGTTGAGATCAAGCATCATTGCAACAAATTATTCAGACTGTACTGATCAGTTTTAATAACTTGAACATTCTATTTCTATTTACTCAACACTACTCTGCACATACCAACATGTTGTCACTACCATTACCACCACCATGACCAACAAACCTAGTATATTCCTAACTGTGTTGGGGTCAGAGGGTTCAAGATGTATGCAACCTTAATCCATGAAAAACAAAAAAGTCTTCCCCATAAGACTGATGATGCATTATTGCATTTACTTTCCAAAACATCATATAACAATATTTAATGATGCAAGTCATTTATTTATGCAAAGTAATACTCCCTCCGTCCCGAATTATACTGCTTGTTTACTATTCAGGTCAAGCTTTATTCATTTTTTTACATATTTTTGTTAGTCATTTGATAAAATAATATAGTCATGTCACCTTGTTTCGTAGAGCTTTTAATATAGTTTCTAAATATGTAGTTTTTTATTCCATCCCAATTCTCACATAAATTGAATTGAAAATAACTTAAGTCAAACATCGTAAACCGAAAAAAGCAGTTTGAGACCAAGGTTGATTTTTCTTTCATTGGACAAAGTTTGAGACAAGAAAACACACATTATACACATGATATGTTAAAAAAATTTCTTTCATACCTCTTTTCATCATGTGTTCGAATGAGAAGGCGTTATGTGTTGCACACATGCATGTACACACGTGCACACATATCGGTGTAAACAGACATGTAAATACAGTAAATGCATCAAGGTTCTAACAAAAATTACCTTTCTATTTCCACAGGGGGTAAGATTGCCTACATGCTAATTCCCAACCCCAACGTTGTTGATATTGGCCTTGTTTGGAAATAGCATTTTCGATTAGCGTTAGCGTTTTGGATAAAAATTTTATGGTGTAGATTAATTTTGAAAACGCTAATGCTGATGCCAAACAGGGCCTACGGGGTGTTATTGTCGTCTATTTATCAAAAGCGTCTTTAATCACAAGCATGTATGGGTATTTTGTTGAAAGCTTGAATCAAATTGAATTGTGCTATATGCCTATATGTATTGTTAATATCAAGATACTATCAGCAAAGAGTATAAGACCCCCAACTTTTTTGCTGCTTTCAGAGTGTTCAGCCTAGGAGCAGAATCTCATAAAATGCTGCATGCTAAAAAACTAAAAAGTCATCTTCAAATAAGCAATTATAGCACATTAATGTATATATGGCAGTGCTGAAATCATAATTGTATATCTTACACCTTCAACCATTTTCTTTTCTGTAACAGGAATGCTTCGATCCAATTGTAGCCAAAACTGGACGTGATCTTATACCTGTAATGGTGTATGGGTAAGTTGTGTTCTTTATCTTTTTAAGCTTTAAAATTACTTAAAGATAAAAAGGAACCATGTTGACCTACTAGATCGTTAGATTGTGTCTGAAACTTACAATCACGGTTACCACCCTAATACTACTGCCACACTAGAACTGCCTTCATCCCCCGAGTACTGCAGCCCCACTACCACCGTGTTATTTTTCCCACAACAAGATCAAAATAGCTACAACCTCTACCGGCACAGTTCTTAGGTTCTGACTATTTGCCACCACCCAATCACTGTTATCACCTGGGCATCACCTTCACTATTGACATCCAATCATTGTTTCCACCACTCGCACACCATACTCTCCACCCCTCTATCGTTGCATTCACAACACCAACCGTCGTAAATACTAATTACTAAAGCAATATTAAAAGATGTATTGTGTTTACAATTTACTTTTTTGGAATTTCGAAATACCCTCTCTATCCCAAAACTAAAGTTCCTTTTTCGGTTTACGATGGTTGATTGCATAGTTTGTAAGGTGCCAAGGCGAGGCACCAATGTACCTTCATATCGCCTAGGCGACGCCTAGGCATCCTATACACACACACCTATATATATGTGTGTGTGTATATATATATGTATATATATATATATATATTAATATATATATATTAATATATATATATATATATATATATATATTAACAAGGGAACTTTAGTAAAAGAGAGGAGTCAGGTGGTGACAAACATGATGGAAAAAAAGAGAGAAAAAGACAAACACCAAAATAAAAAATGAAGAACTAAACGCTCTCCATTTCTCCAAAAGTCCTTGATCCCCCACATTGTGAAGTCTTCATCCTTACTGAGCCATTTCTTGTTCCTGTTTACCGAACACCAGCCTTGAATTTGTTTGAAGCAAAGCTAGATAATGTTGTCTTTGGTTGGAGCTTTCTCTTCATAAATGAATGCATTTCTTGCTTTCCAAATATTCCAAGCGATAACACCTGGCAGAATTAGTCGCAGACAACCTTTGAAGTTCTTCTCATTTCCATTAACCCACCAAGCTATCATATGCTGGCGAAGAGTAAGACCCTGCCGTACAGAGGGGCCCATAACAAAGGAGCTAAAGCAGTGCCAAACTTGTGTACTAAGGGAGCAATGAAGTAGGGAGTGGTCCAATGAGTCTTCATCCCTTTTGTAGAGAGTGCAGCAACTAGGGAGGGAGTAGCCAAATCTTCGCAAGTTGTGAGCGAAGAGTAAGGCTTTGTTTAGAACTCTCCATTGAAACATCTTAAGCTTGGGGATTTGAGTCGTGTGCCAAATGTACTTGCTGGAGGTTAAATTTGGGTAGCCCGTTTCCCCCACTATGAAAGCTCTCTTGAGGGTGAATGAACAACCATCCCATGACATTCCCATCTCATCTCTGGAACTGTAGGTCTCTCAAATGTCATTGATTCTGCTGATTCTCTTCCAAACATGGGATTCTGTAATCCTTTCCTTCATAGTGCCTCACTTCAAGTATTTACCTCTCATGAAAGAAGCCCAAATGCCTTGGTCATTATGGATCTTCCACCACAGGCTTAAGGAGTAATCTTCTTGAAGTCTTTCAATGTTTTTTAGGCCCAAACCACCTACCTCAGTAGGTTGGAAGATTGAGCTCCAGCTTTTCTAGTGATATTTAGATTTACCTTGCTTCTGCCCCCAAAAGAAGTTGGCCATGGAAGAGTTTAGGGCATTGATGATGGATTTAGGGATGGTGTGGACAGCCATAATATGTAATGGGATAGAGGAGAGGACATGTTTGATAAGGATCAACCTCCCCATTTGGTTAATGTTCTTGCTATACCAGGAATTGATGTGCTTGAAGAAATGATCCATCAACTTTGTACAGTGTTCCTTCTTGAGTTTCCCTTTATATATATTGGCCTCCAGGTAGGTAAAAGGGAGGTTTCCACACTTCATGCCTAGAGCTTTTTTCATGTTATGAATAAGGCTTGGAGGTGTCTTACTGCTGGTGTAGAATCTGCTTTTTGGGCAATTTATTTCCTGTTCAGAGGCAAGGAGATATTCTGAAAGGGCCTTCCTTAGTTTGAGCAGATTCCTTGTTTCTCCCTTGGTAAAAATAATGTGGTCATCTGCATAAACAAGGTGACTAGCAAATTTCACACTCCCAGCATTGAATCTTTGAATATAGCAGCTGTCCATGTAGTGGTTAAGTAGCCTGCTGAGACCTTCCGCTCCTAAGATAAAAAGGAGAGGGGAAAGGGGGTCCCCTTGCTTGACACCCCTTGTCATTTGGAAGAAGCCAGTTGGCTCCCCATTGATGATAATGCTGAAATGAGTACCTTTGAGGTTGGCCATAAGGATGGATATTGAGTTCTTGGAGAAGCCAAAGGCAGTAAGCAGTGCTTCTAGATATTTCCAGTCAATTCTGTCAAAAGCTTTTGCCATATCTATCTTAATAAGCAGGTTCCCACCAAATACCTTCTTATCTAGTAGGTGGACAGCTTCTTCAGCCATAAGAATGTTTTCATCAATGGATTTGCCTTGTTGGAAAGCAGCTTGCTCAGGGGAGATGAGTTTGGGCAGGAGCAATTTGAGCCTATTGGCCAATATCTTTGTGTTAATCTTACTCATGAAAGTTGACAGAGATATTGGCCTGAAATCATCAAATTTCTTGGGATTATCTATCTTGGGGATAAGGGATAGCAAGGGGCTGCCATAGGCCCTAGGGACAGGCACACCAAGGAAGAATTCCTGGGAGGCTAGAAGGACAGCCCTCCTGATAATCTCCCAGCAGTGTTTGAAGAAGTTTCCATTAAATCCATCAAGCTCCCAGACTGATCTTCTAACTTCCTCCAAAGTTGGTAAAGCAGTAAAGAGGGAGTTGTCTTCCAGGGTTATAACCTTTTTGAGATGAGAGGAATAATTCGCTCAAGAATAGGATTATGATCAGCCTTGTAGAGATTTTGGATATGGCTTAGAGCAGCTTCTTTTATCTCCCCTGTGGAGGAAAGACCCTTCCCTTCTGTTGAGAGAATATGAGTGATTGAAAGCTTCTTCCTCTTCTTCTTAGTGAAGGCCTGGAAGAGCTTTGAGTTTGCATCCCCTTTGTCAAGCCATCTGATGTTTGCTTTTTGTTTCTAGTACTCAACTTCCTCATTAACTGCTTTTATAAGTTTGGCATTGGCAAGTTGTGCTGAACCCTATTGATCTCATTTGGAAAGTTCTCATATTCCACTTGAGCTTGGGAGGCCAGTTGTTCAACATATCATTGAGTTTGGTGAAAATGTTCCCAAAGACCTTTTGGTTCCATTCCTTAAGGGCTACTTTAGTGTGTTGTAGCTTATTGGCCAATCCCCTCATAGTCTCATACCACCTACAGTGGGGCTGCTGGGGCTGCCTGACCATGTATCCTTAGCCAAATTGTGAAAAGTATCATAAAGTGTCCAAGAGTTCAGAAATTTTTGAAAGGCCTGACCCTCCCTATTTCTGGATTTGAGCAATTAAGCAGCAGAGCTTTGTGATAAGGCTAGGTGGGTAAGGGTAATGTCGCCAAAGGAGGCCATGATATCAAGGTTAATCAGTACTCTATGAAGCCTTCTCCAGGTTCTCCCTTGGCTTCTAACGCCGTACCATGTAAAAATACCCCCAACTGAATCTGGGCAAATCAGATTACAGTTTGATATGTATTCATTGAAGTCATCCATACTTTGAGAGCAAGGAATGCATCTGCCCTTAAATTCTTGGAAGGAGGTGATGGCATTGAACCCCCCCCCCCCCCCAAAAAAAAAAATAATCCAGCGCTTACCCTCAATGCAAATGGTCTGAAGTTGGTTCCAAAGAAGTCTTCTTTCCCGTATAGTGTGAGACCCATATATTGAGGAGACCAGCAATGGGTTGTTGTCAGATGACAAAGTAAATTCACAGTGCGTTACTTGTTCTACTTCCAGGCAGGGTTGAGATGGAGAGAGGCCCGGTTCCAAAATATCCATTTCTTATTTTTGGAGGAGTGGAGAAAAACCCAATTGAAGCCTAAAATGGTCCAGCTGAGAGGCATTGACCATAGGCTCCAGAACACACATAAAATCAACAGCATATTTCCTCTTCAGGAACTTAAGTCTGCTAAGGGAAGAGGAAACCTCACAGACATTCCAGAACAAAAGCTTCATAAGAAAGGGTCGGGGGAAACTCCTTTATTTGATCTACTTCTTGTTAAAAGCCCATAGTTTGGAATCTCCCTTCTGTGTTTATAGTATTTTGGGAGAGGCATTGAGACCTTAGAGCACCTGGAAGTGTCAATAACTAAGGGCTCGAGTTTTTGATTAAGGAAAGGGGTATCCCTTCCCCTCCTCCACCAGAATGGCAAACCAATGGCGTTGTTTCCTTCTCCTGATGTGTTTGATCAGAATAGGGTTCCCATTGTGGAACCATGGTGCTGTTGAGAAAACCATGACGATAGTATACTTCTTCTGTGGGAATGAAAGTCTCATGTTTATTAACATCTTCACTGCATGGGACTTGAGGAATAATTTCCATGAATTTATTCGTGTCATTAACCTCTAGGTAGGTCAAATCAGGGAAAGAGTTGAGCTCCTAGTAAGGATTTGGAGATTTTGCATGGGGAGCTGTAGGAAAGGACGTGTTAGGCATATCCAATACATGAGGTTGTTCCTCGTTATTGATATCCTCAATGATTGGCATAAAATCCTCCCAATGTTGTGATGGACCGTGCTTTTTTGTGCTTGATTGAATCTTCTTGGTGCTTGGGAGGTGGTGGGACAGTGATTATTTAGGACATTTTTGTCCACTTCTCTTTGTTTGGCATTCTTGGAAAAGGTTGTAGGCTGTTGATGGGAAGGCATCTGCAGGATCTTACTAGATGGACCCCTACCTCTCTTATTATATTTTGGTTTATGCACCTGTCCTCTTCTCCTGACTATTGTCCAGCCTTTGGACAGGTCCTCAGAGTGAATACCCGCTCCACTATGACCCACCTCTTTTGTTGGAGCTATGCCGGAGAGG